ATTACTTAGCATGGAGCGAATATATCGTTGTATTAGTTTCCCGGTCACAATTATATATAATATAATTCGACCTTTTATCATATAAATCTGAAACCATTAACATTGTTTCAGAAAGAAAAAAAATGTTGATATTGAAGTTATTTTTTTTTTTATAAGAAATGAAGCATTTATGTTATTTCTGAACTGCTAGTTGTTATTATATACAATACTGGTGATATCTTCATAGGTTTTATAACCTCTTCTTTTATAGATACTGTCTGATTAATTATTAATTATATGAATATAACAAAACTCAATTCATGCTGAGTTTTTGTTCTAATGTTTAGAAATCAGGGTTGGTTCAAAATCAACGCACTCAAATGACTTTATATGTGCAATATTTTAGCTATGGGTGAAAATCAAAGACATTTATCAGTTTATGTTCTTAACTCGAGAACAGACTGTCAAGTGATCGTGTTTTTGATTAGATTTGCGGTCGCTTTGGCAGCATTTTACTAAATTTGCGTTTTAAGTAAGTAGATTTAGTGACGTTATATGAACATCGATTTCAAGATCTACCGCAATTTTATAACTTTTACAAACGTAGAAACGCTTTATGTGGATTTCTATCTTTTTTATTTTTCAATTTAGAAACAAATGTAACTCTATCAGAAACAAACAAGTAAAGCGTCTTATTCTTGGGAAGAATCTTGCTTTCAACACTGCGAACAAACGTAACTCTATCAGAAACAAACAAGTAAAGCGTCTTATTCTTGGAAAGAATCTTGCTTTCAACACTGCGAACAAACGTAACTCTATCAGAAACAAACCAGTAAAGCGTCTTATTATTGGGAAGAATCTTTCTTCCAACACTGCGAACAAATGTAACTCTATCAGAAACAAACAAGTAAAGCGTCTTATTATTGGGAAGAATCTTTCTTCCAACACTGCGAACAAACGTAACTCTATCAGAAACAAACCAGTAAAGCGTCCAACACTGCGTTTTTTGTTCTTATTTATCCCGTATTTGTAGTGTGATTTAAGATATTCAAATATATAAATTTATCACTTAGAAAGAGAGATTAAACTCTAATATAGCCTAAAATTCAATATATAAATATAAATGTTTGAACTGAACTACCTTATTTAATTATTCTGTTCCATTTAATTGCTCACGAATTTAGGGTTATTTTAAATAGTAATTAAAAATTACTTTTTGCTGCAGCTGCTTTATGAATTTACTTAATGTATATGTGTTATATTTACGTATTGACGAACGTGAAAAATATACTGGACCCTGTATTAACGAATAGAAATTAGCTGTAACTCATTTTAGGCCGATTAGACATTTTCTTGCAAGTTTTATATTTTCGGGGCTCAAATATTCGGAGGTATTTTATATAAATGTTATTATAAATTTTCATAATTTTTCTCCTAAAAAATTAACTGATGTTTCAACTACCATATCAAAATTGTAAATATTTTTTCAGTTTTACCGCTTTTAATGGAATATATTTCAAACAGATGTTTAACAAATTGAATATTAAACAAATGTATCGTGATCATTAAGCGTTCTTAACGCATATTGTTTACCTTGTTGTTAGGCACAAAGCTGTACAATGGGATATTTTGATATGCGCATCGCGAGTACAGAAACCCTATATCTAGCGTTACGAGCCACTGGGCGGCTTTGACGTATCTGAATGACCATATACAACAAAATATATTATTTTCGTTGTTTTAATTAATAGCTTACGCAGTCAGCTAGGTCTTATTATTAATTAGTAACAATTTTAAATAACTAGATACTAATTACTAATTAGTTTCATTGTAAGTTTCGGCTGCTAATCTGCTGCCATCTTCAGGGAAGTCCTGCGATGGACTATTCTGTGGCCGATATTTGATCCTGAATGTCCTTGTGTGTGTGTGTGGGAATAGCTCTGTATTGTTCACAAATTAATACATAAAAGACCCTTACGTTAATTTCAAAGCCCGTCAGCTGAGCTGGACAATGACAGACAGAAGTTTATTTGAAACGCTAGATTTCCTGTATAAAGAATAAACAAGGTTTTTCGCTTAATACCAGGACTCCTCAGATTGGTTAGGATACGACAGAAGCATTGAAAACCAGTAAGTCTAACATTTATGACAAAATCACGTAAACGACGATGTTTTCTTTTTGATCACATTCTTCTTAACTTGTCCGTTTGGGATTTCAAATCAATGTTGTGTAAAAATAGCATTTCAAACCTATGTTTTGACTCTCACATGTCATTGCTTAGGGAACAAATCTTTAGTTTACGTGAGTTTTATCACAAGTATTAGACGTATTCGTTTCATTGGTGTTTAAACTATAACTTCCACATACTAATCACTTCCCTAAGTTTAAATGTTGTGTCGAGTAAAGTTATGAAGCTCTTTCCAAAGTTGTTTTATTCATGAGTATTAAGATTAGTACGATGGCGAACACGAAAGAGACCGAGGTTAAAGTCAGACATATTGCAGTAATCAGTTCCGTTATGAAAAATAAAAAAAAAAGTTCTGAACTAGGATGGAGACGCATTATAATCATCTCCTTGAGTGCTGAGTTAAGGTAGATCTTTTCACAATTATGCTTGACATACTTATGTAATTCTCTTATAACGTCGATTTTGGTATAATCTGCGAATAATCCCCCTGCCCCAAATATCATGAAAAGTTTAATTCATTGATCTACCGTGCCTATCCACGTAGATGTTTATAAACAATATTTGTTTAACGTAGATGTTTATAAACAATATTTGTTTAACGTAGATGTTTATAAACAATATTTGGTTAACGTAGATTTTTATAAACAATATTTGTTTAACGTAGATTTTTATAAACAATATTTGTTTAACGTAGATTTTTATAAACAATATTTGTTTAACGTAGATGTTTGTAAACAATATTTGTTTGACGTAGATGTTTGTAAACAATATTTGTTTGACGTAGATGTTTGTAAACAATATTTGTTTGACGTAGATGTTTGTAAGCAATATTTGTTTGACGTAGATGTTTATAAGCAATATTTGTTTAACGCAGATGTTTGTAAGCAATATTTGTTTAACGCAGATGTTTATAAACAATATTTGTTTAACGCGTAAATCCCAATTATTTGAACTTTCTTCCTCTTCTGCTTCTATTATCAACAATGTCAAGTGCAAGTCGTATCCTCTTCAGTTTTTCCGTACGACTCCAACTCAAGTATGATATTTTGACTCAGTCTATCAAATGAAGTAGCCTTAACGAACTCGAACTTTGAGTTATACAGTTTTGTTATGCGACGTTTCTGTTCTGGGAACCATAAATAGCATGACTGCTTGTACTTTTATAGAAATATTTCTGGTGTGATACTGTCTTCTTCACGGATGACAGCCAATCACGATGTCAACACGTTTCTGCACTCTGGTACACTTCTTTTTCATACGATAGATGGGAGCAGACTCGCAATATTTCCATTATATACCCGTTTTAGGATGGGAGCAGACTCGCAATATTTCCATTATATACCCGTTTTAGTCACTGTTTTCATGATTATTTTCAATACCGTATCTCACCTTTGGATACATACATATATATATATAT